CTGGGCGCTGCAGGCTGGCCTTGTGTTCAGGGGCTCTGACCGCTGATGGGAGCACTGAGGGGAGGGGCCCACACGTGGCCATGGCACTGGGCTCCAGAAGGCCCCACCCTGTGGCCTCTCACCCCTCTGCGCTGACGCAGCCTCTGTGGGTGGAGAGGGGACGCCACCAGACGGCGGGAAGACTGCTCACCCATGACCAGCCTCACTGGCTCCCACACTTTGCCCACAAGTGGCCTGTCTCATGTCCACTCGCATGTCCCTGGCCCAGCCAGCTCCACTGGGCCCCTCCCCCATGGAAGGACGGCGAGTGTTTGTGAGCAAGACTGAGTTCTCCTTGGTCTGCCCTTCTCGTCAGGTGTTTGCTCCCCCACCACCACAATCGGGCTAAACCACAAGCTCCCCACCACCATGGGGGACCCACGGGCCCCCCTCCACAGGGACCCATGAGCCCCCCTCACCATAGGGACACATGGCCCCCCACCACCATATGGAGACCCACCAGCACCCCACCACCATGTGGGACCCACAAGCCACACCCTACCATGGGTAGGCATCAGTTCCCCCACCACCATGGGGGACCCATGAGCCCCCCACCACCATGGGGAGGCCTATCAGTCCCTCCTCACCACAGAAGGGAGCCCCTGAGCTTCCCCCCTCACCATGAGAAGACCCAGGAGTCCCTCCATCACCACGGGGGGGTATCCATGAGCCCCGCCCTCCATCACCATAGGGAGGCCTAGCAGTCCCTCCTCACCACAGGAGGGGGCCCCTGAGCTGCCCTCTTCACCATGGGGGGTACCCGTGAGCCCACCACCACCTTGGAGAGGCCCATCAGTACCTCCTCACCACAGGAGGGGGCCCCTGAGCTTCCCCCTCTCACCATGGGGGGTACCCATGAGCCCCCCACCACCACGGGGAGGCCCATCAGTCCCTCCTCACCACAGGAGGGGGCCCCTGAGCTTCCCCCCTCACCACAGGGGCTACCCATGAGATGACACCCCCAGCAGCATCTCGCTGAGTGTCCCTGACCTCCTAGTGTGCCTCCTCCATCTGTGATCTCCCCTCGTGCCCCCGTATCCCCCACAACACAAAGACAGGAGGGGCAGATGACATATTAAACCCTCCTGTCCAGAAGAAAGGGAGCCCTGGTGGCCTAGCAGTTAAGAGGTGGGCGGCTAACCAAAGCTCGGCGGTTTCAATCCACCAGCTGCTGCTTGCACACCCTGTGGGGCAGTTCCGCTCTGTCTGTAGGGGCGACAGCAAGGGTTTGTTGTTGTTGTTATTGTTTGGTTTTTGTCCAGAAGAAACAGGTCCCTGGGTAACACAGTTTGTGCTTGACTACTAACCTAAAGGTTGGTGGTTTGAACTCGCCCAGCAGGGCCACAGAAGAAAGGCCTGGCGATCTGCTTCCCTAAAGATTACAGCCAAGAAACCCTATGGAGCAGTTCTTCTCTGTCACTTGGGGTTGCTATGAGTCAGAGTCAACTTGACAGCAACGGGTTTTTGGTTTTGGTCCTGATGGAGGACCGGGGTGGGTGGTGGGCACAGAGGCAAGGACCCGCCCCCCCATCTTGATATGGGTTCAGGTGACTTGCTGGGGGCAGCTCCCAGCCAGTGCCCTGTGCCCGCAACTCCCACTCTGGGACGTCCCCCTCTCCCCATGGCCCCAAGTGAAGAAGAGGTGCCAAGCGGGGACTGAGCTCCTCTCCTGAGACCTCAGCTTCCCCCCTCCCCCTGGGCTGCCGCAAAAGGGGCAGGAAGCCTGCCCCTGCCCGCTCTTCATACCACCTCGGCAAAGGACAAGGGCACCTGGTAAGTGGCCCAGAGGTGGCTGAGGCTGCCCAGGACAAAGGCCACCTGCCTCTGCCCCCGGGCATGCAGTGGAGACCCCCCACACTCCCTGGGCTCCTGCTCACTTGGATCGACCCCTTCCCCCAGCAACCAGACGCCAACAAACTCCGGCCTCGCCTCCTGAGTCCGCCCCCTCCTCTGCAAGCCCAGGAGGGGTCCTCAGCACCCGGCTGCTGGCACCTCGCATGTGGGTGAATGAAAGGTCCGAAGAGAAGGTCCATGTGGAGATGGGGGGCTCCCAGGTCCAGAACAGGGGGCCATACAGGGGCAAAGGGCCCCTGGCCCCGAGGAATCTGCTGGGCTACAGGGTCTGGTTGGGGGGGCACCTACCTCTGAGGGGTCTCCCACCATCCCTTGCTCCCCGAGTGTTTGGGGTGTCCACTATGCCCCAAGCAGGGCACGCGGAATGTCAGCAAGGCAGAGTTGGCCACAGGTTGTCCCAGGACAGACACTGAGGGTCAGGGGAAGCTGGGAGGCCTTTGGGAAGGGGACATGGTGCAAACCCCTGAATGAGGAGAGGGGCTGCTGAGAGAGGGGCTCCCCTCCTCCTGCCCTTCCTCTCTTATGTTAGGAAAGGACCAGCAAGCTGAGTCTTGGTCCATCCAGAGAAGGGAGGGATGTATCCAAGGTCACTCAGCAAATCGGGCCCAAAGGTGGTGGAGGAGCAAGGAATTGAGCTTGGGGTGCCCAGTACCCATGAAGAGTTGTGGAGAAGAGAGGTGGGAGGGGGAGCAGAGCGGTGACCCTCACGTGCTGTCTGAGTTGGGGACCATAGTCACTCTGCCTAGCTCTCCCCTCCCTACCCAGTGGGCCTGTGATGGCAGCACACCTCCACCTGGAGTGGGCGGGCAGACTGGGACGCTCAATCAGAGCACAGCAATCCCTGGCCATGGTGACTGGTGCAGAGATGGAACCAGGAACCAATCAGAGACCTCCAGTCTGGAGGACCCTGCCAGCCAGGAGCCTGTGTTGGAGGGCAGCCAAGCCAGAGAGGGTCGGAAGGGAGCAGAGAGACAGAGCCAAACAGAGACACCTCCTGGATCCAGCCTTGCCTGAACTCCCTCACCATGCAGCACCACCTCTCTGGAAATGGAAGGTGGGAGTCAAAGAGGTCAGAGCATTTCCACTTCCCCCTTGGCCCAGCCATCCAAAAGCCTACCCTGCCGCCCCACCCTCAGTGCAATCCACTTCCTTTTTCAGAAGAAAGGCGCTCTCAGCCTCTGGGGAGATCCGCCCACCCCCAATCAATTGATTCACCATCCTCCCTGCCCCCCATCATCCAATTTACCATCCACAATCTACCCACCACCCATCCATTCATCCACCCTCTACCATCCATCACTCCCATCATCTACAAATCCATCCTCCATTCACTCACCATCCATCCATCCCTCTAAGCATGATGCATTGATCCAAACATCCATTCATCTGATTCAACATGGTCATCCACCCACAGCCATCCCTCCAACACCCCTCTACCCACCTGTCCTGTACTCATTCACAATCTGCCCACCAACCTATCAGTCCACCCATCCATGTATATATCCAATCACTTCTGTAGTCTCATTCCTCCATCCACCATCTCTGTCCACCAACCATCCTTTCACTCACCATCAGTCCATTCATCTACCACTCAGACTCATCTACCACTCACCTCCCCATCCTTCCACAATTCACTCTCCTTAATCCATCCCTCTACCATCCACCATCTATGATCTACCATCCACCCACATATTCATACACCATGTTTTCATCCACTATCAAATATCTACACTGATCAACCATCCATCATCTGTCTATTCATCACCAAACCATCCTTCCACAACCCACTATCTTCTATCCATCCACCATCCACCATTTATGATCCATGACTTGTTCTTCCACCATTTAATGTCTAGCCACCATCCATCATTCACCAATAACATCCATCCAGTCATATCCGTCATACCCATCAGCCATCTTCTCACAGCCTACTCTCCCCATTACCATGACGGCGCCATCGTCTGCATTGACTATCTCTTGTTGTGTGTCATCGTCAGTTGCAACTCACTGTGATTCACTATCTAGCCACAATCTGAAAACCAAAAACCATAAAATCAAAAAAAACAAACCTGTTGCCATCAAGTTGATTCCGACTCATAGCGACCCTATAGGACAGAGTAGAACTGCCCTATAGGGTTTCCAAGGAGCCACTGGTGGATTTGAACTGCCTACCTTTTGGTTAGCAGCCAAGCTCTTAACCACTGTGCCACCTGCCATTTAACATCCACCATCCACGATCCACCATCCACATATCCCTCTACCATCCATCATCCATCCAGTCATGCACCACTCATTCATTCTCCATCCACCACGCCTCCATGACTATCCATCCATTTATTCACCCACCATCTCCCATCCATTCATTCATCATCCACCCACTGTTGTTAGTTGCTATTGAGTTGATTCCAACTCATGGCAACCCCTTATGTGCTCCATAGTTTTCAAGGCTGTGACCTCTTGGCCTGTCTTCCAAGATGCCTCTGGGTGGGTTCAAACCTCCAACCTTCCGGCCAGTAGTTGAGCTCTTAACTGCACCACGCAGGGACTCCTACCCACCATTAACCAATACAAACACCACCCACCTGTCGTCGCTCACCATACACCTGCCATCCAACCCACACACTCCACCATGCACCATCCACCTATCCACCAACCTTCCACCCATCGTTCTCCCCATCCATCCATTACCAGCTCACCATCCACAATCTACCATCCATCCACTCATCAATGTACCACCCACCGCTGTCATCCTTCTATCATCCAGTCACCATCCACAATCCATCCAGGCCAGGAGGGAAGGAGGGGGGCCTGTGTGGAGGGTGGGGAGACCAGGTGCTGCTGTGGCCACAGCTGGAACAGAAAAGGGGGTGAGTCCAAAAGTTGTGCGTCCCCCACACACATTTCATGGGGCAACTCCGTTCCCTGCAAGGTCCTCAGGCGCTGCAGGTGTGTCGGGGAGGGAGCAAGACTAGAAGGTGCTTCCTGAGGGGCCCGGGCAGGTCTCCAGGTAAATGTATAACTGTCCCTGGCGGCCCCCACCCCACCCCTCCCGGTCACGTGGGCAGCGCGGGGCAAAGTCTCCTGATCAGCTTCGCGGGAGCAGCGAGATGGGCGCGCTGGGCCAGGTCGTGCTGTGGCTGCAGTTCTGCGGTAGGCCGGGCGCACTGCTGGGGACTGGGGAGGCAGCGGGCGGCCCCGGGCCCCGACAGACAGGGAGGCCGGCCAGGGACCCGCGATGAGTGGGCAGCGAAGGCTTGGGGGCCGCGAAACCCGGCCTGACCTCCCTCGGAGGGCGATACGCGGATACCCAGGGATGCAGGGGCTTAGCGGCGACTGCGCGCCGGAGTCCGGGCTGCTCCGCAGCCCGCCTCAGTTTCCCCTCCCGGGAATGCGCGGCAGCAGCTTACGTCGCCTCGCACCTGGGCTAGCGCGTGCGCGGTGGAACTTACCGGCTCCTTGGTGCCGCCCCTGCCCCGCCCCCAACGCCCCGGGAGCTTCAGAAACTGCAGCCGGGTCCCTCTCCCTCTCCCTGAAGCTCCCTCCCCATCGGAGCCCAGCTGGCCCACCCTGAGTCCCCAGCCCCTTGTCTCGCTGCCACCATCCCTCCAGCAGGCTCCTTCGCCCCTGCGGTTCCCCGACTTGGGATTTGCTTCCTGCCGCAGCTCTTCCTGCGCGGGTGAGCCTCCTCCAGGAAGCCTTCCGACTCCTAGGCTGGAGCACAGGCCACCCTTTCCCCATTCCCCAAGACTGTCATTGTCCTTGTCGGGCGGGGCGGGGAGCGATCCCGGCGGGCGTCCTGTAGGGCGGGAGTTTGCGAGGACTATGCGGGTCTGGTAGGAGTTCCTCAGAGCCCCGGCGGGCCCGTGGGGTCCGGCCTGATGTAGGCAGGTGGGGGGCTTGGGGCTGGGCAGCCGCGGGGACACCGGGCCCGGCCGGCCCAGACCAAGGGTGCTGCGGCCCCAGCGGGCACTCAACTGGCCGCCTCCCCAGCGCTGACCCGGGCCGCCTACAAACTCTGGCTCCCCAACACCGACTTCGACGACGCCTCCAACTGGAGCCAGAACCAGACGCCGTGCGCCGGCGCCGCCGTCGAGTTCCCGGCCCACAAGGTGCCTAGTGTCCCCATGGGGCCCTGGGCCGAGGCCTTGGCTCCTCTGCGTGTTCCGGGTGGGAGGGGGCCCAGGGGTCACCCTCCCCCTGCCTGCGTTGACGCCGCTCTTCCTGCAGATGGTGTCAGTCCTGGTGCAGGCACGTCACAGCGTCTCCGACCTGGTGAGGGCGGGGCTCGGCGGGGGATGGGGGCGGGGGTCGGCCCACCCGTGTCTCCCTTAAGCCCCTTCCTTGGCCTTGTGCCCCGTGACCCCGCCGGCATGGGGTCTGCAGGCCCCGGACCTGTGGCCTCTGAGGGGCGCTCCTGGGAGGTCAGGGAACCACACGCGGGGCGGGGGCAGGAGGGCTTGGTGCCAGGGTCCCAGCCGGCAGGGGGGTGGGGAAGCGCCTCCGGCCCCCTCTGCCTGTCTGCCTCTCCCCCCCCCCCCCCGCCATAGTCTGTCATCTATAAAGTTTGCACTCTCGGACTCACCACCCCCAGCCCCAGATAAAAAGTCTTTCTTTGTCCTGGTTGTCTGGAAGTCCGCCTTTAGAACCCTGGACGACCTTGTTTTCAAACTGCTTCACAGAACACTCGTGTTCCCTAGTACAATGGGAATTCTGAGGGGAAAAGGATTCCAAAACCACTTAAGTTTGGGAAATGCTGTCTACTGCGCTTGCCTGGAGCCTCACCATGCTTTAAAGGCTCTGATAAGGCCTGTGGGAAAGACGCCTTGATGTCTTGTTTACAGCAGGGCTCAGCGAACCGCGGCCAAATCCCGCTCGTGTGGCTGGTTTTACAGGTCTACACGGTTGGAAAAATTCAAAAGAACACTATTTCTTGGACGTGGCACATGAGTAGTACATGAAATTCAAATTTCCGCGTCCTTGGTGAAGTTTCACGGCACGCGGCCCCGTCCCTTCGTCACGTAGAGTGGTGGCCGTGGTCATGCCACAGATGGGTTCACTCCTCGCTCATGGGACCTCAGAGTTCACTGAAGGGACGCCCTGCCCAGAGCCTGCTGCGCCCTGCGCGGGGTCATTGCCTGTCACCTGCGGGCCTGCCAGCTTCGGTCGCACCTCAGTGAGGGTCGCTGGCTCTGAGCAAACGGCGGAGCGGGGGCGGGCTCGGGCTGTGGGTTCCGGGGCGGGGACCCTCACCGGGGGGCCACGGGAGTGTGAGGGTGAGGGGCGGCCCGGCCCAATCTGCCCAGACGCAGGCTCTGGGGCCCGCGGGCTTTGTTTTCCACTCCGAGGGCGCTCGGTTAACCGATGGTGTTAACCTTGGGAGTCTGAGCCCGCGCTGGGCAGGGCTGGGGGGCATGGGTGTCACCGTGAGGAGCAGGGAGCTGACACCCTGCCCCACCCGCGAGCTGGCCAGAAGGAGGCTGGGTGCCTGGGCCTCGGGTCCGGGGTCAGGACGCCTTCCCTCCCGTGTCCATCCCGGACTGACAAGGAAGGGCGGCGAGGCTGCGGAGGGGGCACCCGGTAAGGCAGCGGCTGGACCCTGCGGCCTCACCCCCAAAGCCGACACGTTACCATGGCAACCAGGCCCGATAGGGAGTGAGTGTGAGAGAGAAGCTCAGTAACCTGGTGGGGGCCCCGCGGCAAAAGCGCTGCGGAGAACCAGTGGGGTGGCTGGGTGCCGAGCCTGCCGGCCCCTCTGGGCCGATTTCGTTACTGTGGTTATTGTCCCCTTTGGAAGAGTCCAGGCAGCATTCATTCATTCATTCATTCCAAATACATTTCTGGGGTCCCTCCAGCCTGACCTTTTCGACCATTCCCCGCCGCCCAGAGGGTCCCCTTCCTCTCTCTGTGGGGCCTTGGGGCTCCCGCGGATGGCTTGCTCCGGGCGTACTTGGGCACGGCCGCGGGGGGGCGCCCTCTTCACCCTTCAGGCTCAGGTGTGGGAACTGCCCAGGGGCGGGGTGCGGGGGCAGCCGAATCCACCCAGCGCTACCCCGGGCGCTCCCCACCCAGCTGGACCGGACGGGGTCCCCGCCTGCACCATCCCCATCTCTGGGCTTGGTCCAGCGCCTGGATGCTGCTGGAAGCGACATCGGTATTCTCGTAGCATTTCTCTGGTTTGGCGCTTCTCTGGTTGGGGCTTTCCTTCCTTTGCCTGGCGTTCCGGGTTTGCGGGATCTCAGATTTTCTCTTCATCAATCGTTGTTGGCTTGAGACACTGCAAGTCTCCTCTCTGGGCACCCTTCGCTGACCGTTTTAATCTTATCATTAGTTGCCAATTCCGACTCATGGCTCTCCCACCTGTTAGAGTAGAACTACTCCATAGGGTTTCCTTGGCTGTGATCTCTACGGAAGCAGATGGCCAGGCCTTTTCTTCTTCAGTACCGCTGGGTGGGTTCAAACCCTCAACCTTCATGTTAGCAGCGGAGGGCAAGCCCTTTGCACCACCCAGGGACCCTCATTTTAATCTAGCTGATGCAAATCCATTGCCTTTAACTGTGCTTTTCGGTGTTTTGACTAGGACTCTCTTCCCTGCTCCCTGGTCACAAAGTAATGGATTATATTTTGCCTCAATTAACGTCCCGATTCTGCCCTCTGGGACACATCTTTGAGTGTGGCACTAGCTAGACAACAGCTTTATTTTGCTCCTGAGAGAGAGCCACATGACCAATGTCCTCCGCCAAATGAGCCAGCCTTGTCCTCTGATTCATGTCCACCAGGTGCCTGGTGGGTCTCCCCGATCATTCTCATGCCAACACCATGCTGTTTTCTTGCTGAGGCTCTTGGGGCAACTAGCCCACCTTTACTTTTCTGTTACAAGTTTCACTGGCACTTTCGTGGACCTGATTGTCGCAGAGAAAGTGCAGAATAGGTTTAACCTGTTGCCGAGGTGATTCTGACTCATAGAGACTCTATAGGACAGAGGAGAACTGCCCCAGAGGGTTTCCAAGGCTGTAATCCTTACAGAAGCAGACTGCTACATCTTTCTTCCATGGAGCGGCTGGTGGGCTCAAACCTCTGACCTTTTGGTTAGCAGCTGGGCTCTTAACCACTGCACCACCAGGGCTACTTAGAATAGGTTTATCAGGTAACAATAACAAGCAAAACCCTGAACTTTTGATTGGGAATGAATGACAGCTTTATAATATCAGGCCATCCACCAAGGGCATGGACTGTCCCTCCAAATATTTCAGATCATCCTTGTCCTTTACTAGAGTTTCAAAATGTTCCCCATAAAGACATTGTATGCTGTTGTTAGGTGCCGTCCAGTCGGTTCCAACTCATAGTGACCCTATGAACAACAGAACAAAACACTGCCCCGTCCTGTGCCAGCCTCACAATTTTTGCTATGTTTGTCAATCTATCTTGTTGAGGGTCTTCCTCTTCTTTAATGACCCTCTACTCTACCAAGCATGATGTCTTTCTCCAGGGACTGGTCCCTCCTGATAACATCTCCAAAGTACACGAGATGAAGCCTCGCCATTCTCACTTCCAAGGAGTACTCTGGCTGTACTTCCTCCAAGACAGACTTGTTTTCTCTTCTGGCAGCCCATGGTATATTCAATATTCTTCACCAACACCATAATTCTAAACGCATCAATTCTTCTTCAGTCTTTCTTATTCATTGTTCAGCTTTCCTATGCATAGGAGGCAATTGCAAATACCATGGCTTGGGGTCAGGTGCACCTTAGTCCTCAAACTGACATCTTTGCTTTTTAACAGTTTAAAGAGGTTTTTTGCAGCAGATTTGCCCAATGCACTATGTCATTTGATATCTTGACTGCTGCTTCCGTGGGTGTTGATTGTGGCTCCAAGTTAAATGAAATCCTTGAAAGAGAGCGTATAGTATTGGTTAATTTGTAAATATTTTACAGGTTTGGTTGCTATTTTGAATGGTGCTCTAATTAAAGAAAAATTCTCTTGTTGTTGTTGTTAGGTGCTGTCAAGTAGATTCCAACTCATAGCGACCCCGTGTACAACAAAATGAAACGCTGCCCAGTCCTGCACCATCCTCACAATCGTTATGTTTGAGCCCATTGTTGCAGCCACTGTGTCAATCCATCTCGTTGAGGGTCTTCCTCTTTTTAGCTGACCCTGCTGGTATTTGAAACGCTGGTCACAAAGCTTCCAGTATCACAGCAACCCGCAAGCCACCCCAGTACAACAAACTCACAGATGCGTGTTGGTATATTCTCTAGTTGGTTATTGTTTCAAATAATGACAGTTGTTCCCTCTTCCCTCCAGTCAACTCCTTTGATCTGTTTTTCTTTCCTGTAGCATTGGCCAGGGTTTCTATGTTCAACAGAAGTGATAAAAGTGGGCATCCTTGTTTTGTTCCAATGCTAAAAAGAAGGCATTTCAAGTTTCTCCATTGAGTGTAATATTTGCTGTAGGTTTTTGGTACATAAACCCCCTACCCACCCACCCTCCCCCCGAAAAAATTACTGTCAAGTCAGTTTCGACTCATAGCGACCCTATAGGACAGAGTAGAAATGCCTCATAGGGTTTCCAAGGCTATAAATCTTTACAGAAGCAGACTGCCACATCTTTCTCCCACCGAGCGGCTGGTGGGTTCAAACCGCCAACCTTTCAGTTAACCACCAAGCGCTTTGACCACTGCATGACCAGGGCTCCTTTCTGGTATATAAATTTGATCAAATCAGGGAAATTCTATTCTTGTTGCTAGTCTGTTAGCAGCTTTAAAAAAGTTATAAGTTGTTGAACTTTATCAACATCCTTATCTATGTTGATTGAGGTGTGATTTTCCTCCTGCAGCCTATTAATGAGGTTTTCTGAGGTTGAACTACCTTTGTAAGGCTGATGTCTTCCTGGCACCTTCCTATGGGTTATAAAACACGCTACTTCTTCAAGACACTTGACTTCCCTCTGCCATAATATACCAATTTTGCGGTCACAAGACTCTCTACTGCTATCTTCTGGAACATCATTATATATATGGCCTAGAGATGAGGGGCCCTGGTGGTACAGTGGTTAAGAGTTTGGCTGCTAACCAAAAGGTTGGCAGTTCGAATCCCCCAGCCGCTCCTTGGAAACCCTATGGGGCAGTTCTACTGTGTCTTATAGGGTTGCTGTGAGTCGGAATTGACTCAATGGCAACGGGTTTTGTTTTTAGAGGTAATGATGCTCCACCCTCCATCTCTGCATTCTTGGGACATGACCTCTACTTGATTGCCACATCTTTTTTAATACACTATTACATCTAGTTATCTAATATTTTATTTAGAATATTTGTACCTGCATTTTTAAGTAGAATGGGACTATAAATTTTCTTGTCTTGTATTATCCTTCATCTGATTTTGGAATCAAGATTACACCGACCTCATAAAACAGGCCGACAATTTTCCTTCTTCTTCTGTTTTCTGGAACAACTCATGTAAAAAGAAATGAGTTGTCCCTTGAGAGTTTAGTAGACCAGAACTGTTAAACCATTTGGACTGGGGTTTTTAGGAATAGGAAGCGTTTGACTATCATATATATTTCTTTAATGTTTACTCATCTATCCAAATTCCCTATTGCTTCTTGTGTCAAGTTTAACATTTTGAATTTTTCTAGAAATTGATATATTTCATAAAAACAAAACAAACCTACCCGTTACAACTGAGTTGATTCTGACTTATAGCAACCCTATAGGACACAGTAAAACTGCCCCATAGGGTTTCCAAGGAGCAGTTGGTGGATTCGAACTGCTGACCTTTTGGTTAGCAGCCAGGCTCTTAACCACTAAGCCACCAGGGCTCCATATCTCATCCAGGTTTATCAAACTTGGAGCCCCTGGGTGGGTTTGAACCACCAGTCTTTCAGTTAGCAGCTGAATGTTTAACCATTATACCACCAAGGCTCCTTTCAAATTTGGTAGTGCTATGGATTTCTTAAGTGAGCCCTGGTGGTGCAGTGGTTGAAGCACTTGGCTGCTAACCGAAAGATTGGTGGTTCAAACCCACCAGCCACTCTGGGAGAAAGATGTGACATTTACAGCCTTGGAAACCCTATGGGGGCAGTTTTGCTCTGTCCTATAGGGTTGCTATGAGTTAAAATGGACTTAATGGCAGGTTTTTTTTTTTTTTTTAATTGATTTCTTAAACTTTTCAATGTCTCTGTCTTCCCTCTAACAAGCAGGTTCTTTAGTGTACCCCCATGTCCCTTTGGTCTCCCCTCTTCCAATTCCATCACACTTTAGCCCTAGATTTTCAAAATGACAACAATAAGCTTTGCCTAGGTTTTCTATCCCCCTTACCTCCCATGGAGCCCTGGTGGTGCAGCGATTAAGAACTCGGCTGCTAACCAGAAGATCGGTGGTTTGAACCTACCAGCCCCTCTGTGGGAGAAAGATGTGACAGTCTGCTTCCATTTACAGACTTGGAAACCCTATGGGGCAGCTCTACTGTGTCCTGTAGGGTCACTAGGAGTCGGAATTGACTGGACGGCAATGGGTTTTTTTGGTTTACCTACCATATCTCTTCGTAGCTTCTGGATTTCTCTCCCTTCTCACGTCACACGCGTGTTTTCTGGGTAGGTCTTTGTGTGGCAATTGTTCTTGTGTAGCTATGCCTTCCTTTTTGGCCTGAGGAAATTTTATTATACCCTCATATTTGACTGACAGTTTGGCTGGATATAAAATTCTAGATTGAACATTTTTTCCTTTATATTTAAAATAGGACTCTGTTGTCTTTTTGCATGCATTGTTGTTGAGAAATCGGAATCTGATTTTGTTGTCCTCCCTGGGTAATCTGTTCTTTCTTCCTGGCGTTTTTAGAATGTTCTCTTTGTCTTTGATAGTCATAAACTTACTGTCTAGGTGTGGATTGTCTTTATTTCCTCCGTTTGACACTCAGCAAGACCCTTCAGGTGAGGTTTCCCAACTTTCTTGAAATCTGGAAAATTCATCTTCATCTTTTTCCCCAAATATTTCCTCTTCTCCCCACCCCTCATTCTGAGACTTTGGTATCTGAATTCTGGCACTTCTGTCGGTCCTCCTGTTGTCATCTCTCATGGTTTCTGTCTCCTAGTCCTTTCCTGCTGTCTTCTGGGGAGCTTCTTGATGTGAACACTCACCTCACTAGGTGTTTCTCAGCCCCTGATGGCCTTCTACCTATTGTGCACTTGCTTTTGACTATCATTCACATTTTTTTCTATTTTCCCCTTTATGTCTTTAAAAAAAACAATATCCTGTTCTTGTCTCACACTGCTAACCCCTCCCTCCTGAGATATAGAGCTTTTTGTGCATTCCTGCTTCTGTCGGCAGCCCCACCTCGGTGGCATCTGGGGGTGGAGAGGTCTCAAGTTTTTGGGTGCCTGGGGAAGGGCTGACAAACAGTCCTGTCCCTGTGGGTTGGCCTTGGGTGGACAGTCCCTGACAATGCAGGGTCCATCACCGAGCAGCCCAGGCGTCACCTTGGGCCCCGACCCTGAAGGAGAAGCACCGTGGAGGAGTGTCAGTGGTCCTGGGGTGGAAGGGGAGGGGTGGGGGAGTCAGGGGGTGGCTGCTCAGTCCCCCCCACCCGGAAGTCTAAGCCTTGTGCTTCATGTACCCTCTTACAGCTGAGGCCTGGGCTGTGGCCTGGTTTCTGTGAGGAAGGGGCTTCCGCAGTGCGGCCCAGGCCTAGGGGGAGGCAGGGTGGACTTCAAGGCTCCTCTCTGTCACCTCTGGCAGCCCCCTCCTCTAACACAGTTCAGCGCGCCTTTAGCCTCCCCAGAGCATTCTCAGGGTTTTAAAACTGAGCTCCTGGAACCCATAACGCCTTCGCTTCTACAGTTTCGAAGGAGGGGGATGGGGTAGGGTAACTTCCCGGCAGGTGTCACCCCCTGTCCCAAACCCTCAGCGGTTCACAGGGTCTGGGGCAGTCCACGCCCTGAGCTGTTCTTCCTCCAGGCCCCGCCCCCCCAGCACCCTTCCCGTTTCTAGATCCTACTCTCCCTGCTGGCTGTGTCCTGCCCTGCCTCACCCTGGCCCCGCCTCACCCTGGTCTTCCCCGTGGTCACCTGGATTCTGCTGCCCGGGGACCCAGGAGCGGGGTGGACGCGGGCGGGACCTCCTGGGGCCACTCGGCCACCGCGTGGCACCGCCTCAGCCTGAGCCTCTGCAGCTCCTGCCGCTGGACGGGGAACTCATCCTGGCCTCTGGAGTGGCATTCAGCGCATCAGTCACCACCTGGGACCCGAACTGTAGCGCAGGTGAGGCCAGGGGGCAGCGGGCCGGACGTCAGGGAAAGGGAAAGGCATGGAGAGGGCGTGGTCATGGGCGGGGCAAGGGGCACTGCGGAGAGCGTGGTGAGAGGATGAGGCACGGGGGAGGGCGTGGTCAGGATGGGGGCAAGGCCACGGGCAGGGGCGGGGCACGGAGGGAGGGTGTGACGGGGGCAGGGTTTGCTGGAAGGGCTTGTCCCGGGACGCGGCTCTTCAGGGGAACGTGTCCCGCGGCAGAGCTTGAGGGGTAGGGCTTGTCTTCACCGGGACTTCCTTGAGGGCGTGTTTGGGGCAGGGCTTGGAAGGAGGGCGGGTTCAGGCACCCGGGCTTCCAGGAGGAGGTGTCTGGGGCAGATCTCGACCCGAGAGCGCGTCCCACGCGGGCTCAGGAATGTGCCCCATCAGGCTCCCCCGCGCTCTTCCGCGACCCCGACCGCTTCTTGTGGCACGACCCGAGCCTGTGGCACTCCGAGGACGCGGTGAGCGGTCTCTTCTCCGTGGACGCCGAGCGCGTGCCCTGCCGACACGACGACGTCGTCTTCCCGCCGGCCACTTCCTTCCGCGTGGGGCTGGGCCCCGGTGTCCGAACTGTGCGCAGTGTGTCAGCCCTGGGCCAGGTGAGGTGGGGTCCCTGGGGTGCCCTCCGTCCCCGCGGTCCGGGCGCGTGGGCTCCGACACTCTAACGCGTCTCCTCCTGGGCGGGGTCCGGGCCCTGCAGACGTTCACGCGCGACGACGACCTGGCTGCCTTCCTGGCGTCCCGCGCCGGCCGCCTGCGCTTCCACGGGCCAGGCGCGCTGCATGTAGTCCCCGAGGCCTGCGCCGACCCGTCGGGCTGCGTCTGTGGCAACGACGAGGTCAGCGGGGGTGGGCTGCGGGCGCGGCGAGGCACTGGGGGGAATGGCGGGAAGGCCAGGACGGAGAAAGGCGGGAGGCTAGACTCTCCGGTCAGCGGCCGCCAACCCTGCAGTCCCGGTCAGCGACCCCTCAGTTCGGGCTGCTCTGGTCAGACCCGCCCCCTCCCGTCGGCCCGCCGCCCCGCGTCGGCCCGCCGACCCATCCTCTTCCTCGATGACCCGCTCCTCCCCACTGACCCCCGCCGACCGGCCCCCTCCCGCCGACCAGCCCCTCTATTCGCTAACCTGCCCTCTCCGCAGGAGCTGCCATGGATCTGCGCAGCCCTGCTCCAGCCCCTGGGTGGCCGCTGCCCCGCTGTCGCCTGCCGCGACGCTCTCCAGCCTGAGGGCCAGTGCTGCGACCTGTGCGGTGAGCGCCCTGCCTCACGCGGTCTGCTCTGCGAGGACCGCCGGGGTCTTCCGCCCGCCTGTCCCCCTGCGGCCGCGCTGAGCCTGCCCTCTCGCGCAGGAGCGATAATTTCGCTGACCCACGGCGCCGCCTTTGATCTGGAGCAGTACCGGGCGCGGCTGCTGCGCACCTTCCTCCTGGTAACCGCGCCCCCACTGGCCCCATTGCAGCCCCACCGGGCACAGGGGTGCGCGGTCCCTCGGCAGGGACCCTGGGGCCACACTTGCCACTCTGCGCCCCCCGGTCCACCATTTGCCCCTGTTCCCAGCGTCCCTGCGGGTCCGAGGAGGAGTTCCCGTGCCAACGCTGCCCCCTCTCCGCCAGCCCGAGTATCAGAGACTGCAGGTGGCCGTGTCCAAGGTGCGGCGCACGCAACGGGTCCGGGAGGCAGCGGGTCCGGGGCCTGACACGGAGATCCAGGTAGTGCTGGCGGAGGCCGAGCCCGGGGCAGGCGGCGCCACGCGGCTGGCCCAAGACATCCTGGCCGACATCGCCGAGAACGGTGACTGCCGCCACCCCTGCCCTTTGCAGGCCCTGCCCCGGCCCCCGCGCGGGCCCGGCGGGGACACTGAAGTGCCCCCTGCGTTCCAGGAGAGGCCCTCGGCATCCTGTCAGCGACTGTCCGCGAGTCGGGCTCGCCCGTCATGGGTGGCTCCGCGGCGGGGCTGGACGGGCCGGGACACCGCGCGGCGATTCCAGGCGTCGTCGTGGCCGCGCTGCTCTTGGCGGTGCTCTTAGCGGTGTTCCTGGTGGTCCTGCTGCGCCGGGCGAGGAGGCTCAGGTATGCGGGGACGGTGGCGGGTGGGGGGGGGTACGGGGGGGGGGGGAGGAGGCTTAGCTACGCCGGGAGTGAGGGGCGGGCCGGCTCAGGTGCGCTTGGTGGGTGGGAAGGGTTACCGCCCCGCGGGGCTCACCCCGCGCCCCTTATTTCTCCAGGTGGAGTCGCGGGGAGGATGCGGCACCCGCGCCGACCGGGCCCCCCCTGGGTTTCGACAACCCGGTGTTCGACTCGGCAGGCTTCGCGGACTCCAAGCAGAGGGTGACACAGCATCGGGGAGGTGGGGGTGGGTTGGGCTGGGTCTCCCGGACAGGGCTCCGCACCACTGACTCCGTGTTCCCCTCCAGGCCCCCGCCCCGCAGCCGGACGCCGGGAGCACCAGCCGCAGTTACTTTATCAACCCGCTGTTTGCCGGCCAAGAGGCGGAGGCCTGAGTGAGCCACGTTTCACATGCCCCCTGCCCGCCTGGCCCCGGGACCTGCGGATGCCTTCTCCCCCTTCGATTCCCCCATCCCATACCCCAGCTGGAGACCAAGGTCGGGGTGGCCTTGTCCAATAAAGGGGTTTCCTGCACCTGCTGTCAGCCTTGGACACAACCTTCCCTGCTTCTCCCCCACCCCACAGGTCACACTGCAACCCAGAGGGCTGGGGGTGGCAGGGGCTGGCTGACCAGTGGGCCGCCCGAGGCTTCCTATGTGCCCAGTGGAACCCAGAACTGGGGGTAGGGTGGTGAGCTGGCCCCAAGAGAGCAGAGCCTGGTGGGAGAAGCTGCCCCAGTCCCCAGGGGCCTGGAGGTGGTGCAATGGGGGAGACAGGTACTGGGTGGGGGTGGGAAAAAAGCAGGCACCCTAGCCCTTTCATGCCAGGCCCCTCAACCACTGCACTCTCAACCAGGCCACGCAGCTAGGATCCCAACAGACTGGCCAGGTGGACTGGGACATGCTTGGGCAGGCCCAGCCCTCTGGGCCCAGGGTGCTGTCCTGGGGGGCAGGGCAGTCTACCCCCTACTCGGGGTGGGGCTAGGGCTGCCCAGATGGCAGCTCGGGAGTGTCTGAGCTGAGGGAGGGATGGTCATCCTAGGAGTGGGTGGGCAGCTCCGGCATCCGTCATGCAGTGAGGCCCCACCCCCCACAGGGTGGTGCTCATCCAGGCAGTGGGTCCTAACTGGGCCAGTGATTCACGCTCATGCGTGTGGGCAGGTGTATACAGATAGGTGCACGGTGCCCAGTGCAAGGGTCCCCCACGTCCGGGGTACCCATTCCCCCTGCTTCTGACATTTGGGTCAGTTTTGTCGGCTCCCCACGAAGACTCCCACAGCCCTGTCGTGGCCTTGGCCCTTTCTGCACCTGGTAGTCTGCTGTGTTCCACAGGGTTTTCCGGCACGTGAACGCTGTTGTTAATTGATGTCCTGTCGATTTAGACTCACAGTGACCCTACATGACAGGGCAGAACTACCCCACAGGGTTTCCTAGGCTGTAATCTTTTCAATGTTAAAACGCATAAGATGTCACTTTGAGGATGAAGGTGCGCCTGATCCAAGCCATGGTATTTTCAACCGCCTCATATGCATGTGAAAGCTGGGCAAGAATAAGGAAAACTGAAGAAGAATTGGTGCATCTGACTTACGGTGCTGGCAAAGAATATTGACTATACCATGGACTGCCACAAGAACAAACAAATCTGTCTTGGAAAAAATACAGCCAGAATGCTCCTTAGAAGCAATGATGGCAAAATTTTGTCTCAAGTACTTTGAACATGTTATCAAGAGACCAGTCCCTAGAGGACATCATACTTGGTCAAGTAAAGGGTCAGTAAAAAAGAGACCCTCAACGAGATGGACTGACACAATGGCCGTAACGATGGGCTCAAGCATAACAATGATCGTGAGGATGGTGAAGGGCTGGGCAGTGTTTGGTTCTGTTGTATACAGGGTCGCTATGAGTTGGAACTGACTCGAAGATACCCAACAACAATCTTTATGGGAGCAGATTTCCAAGTCTTTTCTCCCACAGAGCCGCTGGTGTCCGAATCACTGACCTTTCAGTTAGCAGCCGAGTGCTTAACTACTGTGCCACCAGGGGTCCTTAGCCATGAATACCACCACATATTCATTCTGCTGCAACAGCTAGCACTTTGCTTTTAAAACTGGCAGTCGATGCCTCCTGCTCCAGACCTGTGAGGTGCTTTGCTGTCCTCATTTGCTTTAATCCTCGAGATACACCCTGACTGAGTGCCCGCCTTGCTGCCCCACACTGTCCTGCCCCAAGCACTGGCTGATGTTGGTATGGTGCTTTCCCCAGGTTTTCGGGTGCTTCCGTTTCACTCAGTTATTTCTGGAAGGTTGCCTCGATGACCCTGTGGCACCCCTGCTGCTCCCACCCACTCCAGTTCCCCCCCAGGCAGGTGGAAGATGCTGTTTCTGACCTTGGAGGGTGGGTGTGGCATGGGACAGGAACCACGAGACTGTGACACAAGGCCCTCTGATAGGCTTCAGGGGCCAGAGCTGGATGTGTCCATCCCTCCCACTGGTGACACAGGGGCCTGGTCCCCCTCTGCCAATGGACGGTGATGAGCAGATACAGGGACATGGCTGTCCTGGCTGCAGTCAGCGTTGGGGTACAGACACGACCCCCGAGCCGCAGGGGTTTACCAAGTGTATTCCCTGCTCACCCCCACACCCACGTGTCTGCAGCCAAGATGGCCGTGTCCACACGTCACAAGCGTCCTGGGCTCACAGATGCCTGTGAGGCCTGCACTGGGGCTACTCGTGACTAACGCCCAGTGACGCCGACGTACCTGAGCGTCCACCCGTGCTGGTGCTTGGCTGCCCAGCCCCCTTCCAGGCTCCATCTTCACTCATCCCCATGCCACCCACCCAGGTGCTGCTCTGCCCTCAGGCTGGAAGAACTGACCAGCACGGCTGGACCCTGCCCCGGGGACGTGAAACCTGGGGCCAAGGCCCCATACCTGCAGTCCTGCTCCCCTCCTCATACCCTTTCCCACACTTGGGGTGACCCCCTGCCAGCCCCAACCTCGTCTCAAGCCCCCCCCTCTTCCCAGTGACTCCAGCCTGTCCCGTCACATCCCTTATGACTTCTGGGGACAGTGTGCTGTGAGGACGGGGCAACCCTCCTGCCCAGCCTCCCTCATTGGGCCCTTGGTGGGGGCAGGGAGCCCCCTTACCCCTAGGTCTTGGCCCCGTGGGCAGCTGGTAACCAGCAGAGGCCCTGGCCAGATCATTGCTCACCTGGGGCCCCTCCACTTGAGGCCCAGCCACGTGGACACAGTCGACTCCGTGTGGTTCCCTGAGGGGACAGCTCTTCCATTTGGGTAAGACGTTCCACTTGAGGATTCCTGGGAGCCCAGGCATGCTGATGGCGACACCGTCACACATGAAGGCAGACCCCTGTCAACTTTAAAACTGCTGTCTTCTCTTTATTGACAGGTAAATTGTTCAAAAATGTCCTCACAATTTAATAATTACAAAGACTCAAACTTACATTAAAAAAGTAAAAACCAGAACCCCCAGCAGGTGCCAGCCCCGGCGGAAGGCCCAGGAGGGCAGGCAGGGCGGCGTGGTGCACAGGGAGCCTCTGCCACTCAGCACCGACCCGGATGCGTGCCCCCGGTCGGCGCCGCGAGACAGTGGGAGAGCAGGGAGCCCGGGAGAGAACTCGTGAACTGTCCGAGCCGGACGACAGGCGGAGTCGGCTGCCAGTTAATTACAAGCCTTTAATGACACAGGGTCACAAACCCGATTACTCCACATATATAGTACAGGAGGGGGAGATTAAATACACGCGAGCATCGCCGCTGCCGTGGCCGGGACACGGAGTGTGTGGGTGAGTCTACGTGATCGGTTCTGGGTTACGAATCACGGGGTCTCCATGCGGGGGTGGAGGGGGCGGGGGGCCCAGCACTTGCTGCCTGGCTCCCGGGGCCTGCCTGTGCCACACCACCTTGGCCCAGGGAGTGGGGTTTTATGCTAGCAGCAGCAGCTGGGAGGTGAGTGGGCGACAGAACACAGCTGACTCTGCAGCAGTGGACACCAGTGACACTGGCCAGCGCGCAGGTGGGTGGGCGGCACTGGTCCCTGGCTGGGAGGTTGGCAGAAAGACTTCTGTAGCTGAGCCCGCAATGGCTACATAATGAAAAGGCCACAAACTAACCTCCCCTTTCTGTGTCTCCAAATTCTAGTGAGTCTGGGAATCACGGACGACTTTTCTAGTCTCCTGAGGCCCTGAAAGCAGTCTCGGGACACAGGAAGTATCTGCTTCCTAAGCGCGGGGTCTGTTTCACCCCCGAGGGGGGCCAGCATGGCCACGCAGCTGCCCTGGCTGGAGCAGGGCTGGGGGGGCCGTCACCGCCGCCGAGCGGAACCGTCACCACACCGTGTGGGGGGTGGGCCTGGCTACTGCCTGGACGCCGCGGACAACTCTGATCATTATTCAATAAAGACTTTCTGCATCTCCTATCTACACACCCACTCCACATCTCCTCGAGTGACACTGAGGATCCGCTCGGTCTTGGCACTGACGGAGCCGGTGTGGGCTCCCGGCTGTGGCGCGGGTGGCAGGTGGCTCAGGCGTCGCAGGCTGGCGGCTCCAGGCCTTCCAGGGGGAGCTGGCTCCGGTGGGGGGAGTTGGGACTTGGTGGGCCGCTGGGGTTGGAGCTGTTGGACGGGGTTGAGTGTTTGGTGGAATCTGAGTCCGGCTGTCAACACAAGAAGGGACAGGTGAGTGCGCGTGCCGGCGGGAAGGGTGGGCTCCGGTCCTGGTACGGCCCAGCGGGATATGGCATGTTCGGGGACAGATGTGATACTGTGCCTTCCCTCTCCTTGGGACACACTGTCTACAGGCCACGTGCCCAGTCCTTTGGCTGAGGGGCACCATAAAACCCAACACCCAGCTCCACTGATGACTCAGTCATCACAAAGGGCAGGCCCTCTGGAGAAGAACCAGGCGACACCGTAGCCAGGCGGTCAAACGTAGCCAGTGTGTTGCTGCCGGCAGACAAGCACCGTTGCCTCGGCACACTGAGAGGACCCCAAGGCCCACGAGTACGCCAGCATGAATGGCCTCACAGGAGACGTCAGCCGAGTCAGGCCAGTAGCAGCCTCTGAAATGGCGGGCTGGCACCGTCACGCCACACCAAAGCAGGCTGCGGGACCGTCCTGATGAAAAGGGACTACCTGCAAGGTGGGCCTGCTAAGTGCAATGGGCAGATCCTGTTCCAGAAAAAAACCTTGCTTCAGAGGACGTTATCAGGACACTGAAATCGGAACAGGCAAATCATCACGTCAGAGGTATGTTGTCTGGATTTGATACCTGACTTTGGTCTCCTCAGAGAAGATCCCAACCCTTACGTAAAGGGAACGATGTGTGCAGCCTACTCACACAGCTCAGAGGAAACGTGTGTGCGTGAGTGTGCAAGT